GCGAGCGTTGGGCCGCAGTGCCATGAATACGGTGAACTAGTATAAACCATAAACTCGAGGTGGTTAAAGGTGGGAAGTAGACACGAAGCGCAAGCCGTAAGAAAGTGTGCGTGTGCCACCTCTCGTTTAGTCCTTGGAATGTCCGCTGGATGGCGGTGCATATGCGGAATATATGATGGAAAGATGCAAGATGGTGGTACTTGGAGTGTTCAATAGATGGACGAACGGACACACAGACAGATGCATGAAAGGACTGACGGATGGCTGCACCGACGGATGGATGCATGGACGGACGCAGTAGCAGATGCATGGACGAACGCAGAAACGGACGCACAGATAGACGTGCGGATGCACGAACAGATGCACGCATGGACGGACGGAAGCAAGAACGAAAGGACAGACGGATGCTTCGCCCCACTCTCCATCATTCACTTCGTGGATATTCTGCCATTTTTTGTTTAATAAGGGCGCTAAGAATCGAGTGGTATACGTTGTTAGTTCGCTCTCGTCCTGCAAGTATCATTTTCGTGCGTTATTTGTGTGTGAGCAACCCGCTGCACGTTTCGATCTGCTTGCCATTCTTCGCGTTACATTCCAACTTGTTGCTGTTGCATTTATTGCTTTGCCCTTGCGGCAAAACGAACTTTATTTCAATTTTTTACGGTATTGCTGCTTTTAACCTACCACTGCCTGCCCTCGGAGCTAGTATATTGCTATCGCGTTGCCGCAAATGAGGTTTTGTGTGCGGCGGTTGCGGCAAACGGTAGTTCATTTTACAATCCCCGTGCGCATGGCTGCGCACGCACCTTCAAAACTAAGCCGTTTTATGCCATCTACGATAGCATCTACCGCAGATTTGTCCGCAGAGTTGGCGGATTGATTGATTGATTGATATGTGGGGTTTAACGTCCCAAAACCACTATATGATTATGAAAACGCCGTAGTGGAGGGCTCCGGAAATTTAGACCACCTGGGGTTCTTTAACGTGCACCCAAATCTGAGCACACGGGCCTACAACATTTCCGCCTCCATCGGAAATGCAGCCGCCGCAGCCGGGATTCGACCCCGCGCCCTGCGGGTCAGCAGCCGAGTACCTTAGCCACTAGACCACCGCGGCGGAGCGCAGAGTTGGCGGAAAGCAGCGTTGCTTTGACTGGTTGAGCGCACACTTTCGGGATTTTGTCAGTTACGTCGTCGCCACACATGATCGTGTCAAGAGCGACCGCGGTTTCGTCCACAGCGATTGTGGCAATGACAATCACACGCACTGTAGAAGACAGTGCGTGCGCCGGTCGCACACGTACTTTTGAAGCTTCGAGCACGCTGTTTTCTGCCTTCGTTTGACGGTTTCTGCACTAAACTTCGTATCGTCCGCCCCAATTAAGAAACGTGTTCAGAACATTCAAATTGAGGCCCAATGAACATAGTAGAATTTGGCTGTGGAATTTCAAGACTTCGTATCTGCCGCAGTTTCGCATCGCTTAGATTATACTGTACGCTTATATGAAAGCCTCTTGAACTCCTTTATAACAAAATGGGGTAGGTTGAAAAAGCCTGGAGTAGATTGAGCTGCGTTTTTGTGAATGCAGCCAGATCACGCACAGAAATTTCGATTTCTGGGAGATTTTCATGAAAACCGTAAAACGAAATAAACGGTCTAAATTCGGGAGTCTCTTGGCCAATCCGGGAGACTTGGCAGGTATGCACTTGGAGGTTACCAACGATTTGCAATCGTAAAGTTTTCTATGGGCATTCCGACGATTTACAGCTCGACGGGAATGCCAGCAGTAATGTACTCAGACAACGCCAAAACATTTATAAAAGCTGAAAAGGAAATCAACAGAATGCTTGAAACCATTGAACACGAGGTCTTAAAGGATTACTGCAGTGGCCAACAAATTCAATGGAAAACGATAGCCAAGTGCGCACCGTGATGGGGAGGACTTTACGAGCGCCTCATAAGAAGCTTGAAAACGTCGATGCGAAAGATATTATCGAAAAGTACAGCTTCGGTAGAGGAGCTACCCCATTATTGTAGCAGAAGTTGAAGGAGAACTCAACAATAGACCGTTGACTTACCAACGAGCCAATGCCACTAACGCCGGCAGACATTATAGGCGGACGGCGACAGCTTCAAGACGGACAAACAAGACTGTACAACGGTGACATTGAAGACGCATGGTGAAGCAGATGCAAACTCGTGCAGGCTTGGTAGAAAAGATGGGATCGAGAATACATCAAGGAAATAGGAGCTACGGTTTCACAGGGTGACGTGGTGTTGGTTGAGGACAAGGCTCCAAGAACATTTAGAAAAATGTGCCAGATTGAAAAACTCTACCCTGGGCGAGACGGAATAACAAGAGCTTGTCTCCTTCGTACAGGCAAAAAAGAACTTCTAAGAAGATCTGTGAATCACATATACCCTATGAAGGGTTGTTTCAAAGAGCCCGCAAGGGTTTATCCTATTTCAACTTGGGCGAGCGGGAGCCTATAAAATGTCATCATCAAATGCCAGAAGAAGAAAGAAGACTGCTGCCGGGAGCGAGCGCGTGCTACTTCTTTTCTTCTAATAAACTGTATTCGTTCGAAGCAGTCCCTGGTCTCGATCGTCTTAATATCGGCGAAGAGCATGCTGCTGTTCTAAATAAACTCGGGACCGCCCTTATCGCTTCTGCTCTTCGAAAAACACGTGCGTCATGGACCCTTTTGGGCAAAAAATTTTTTTGTTTTCACTCGCAACTTTTTTAAAAGCTGTGCTTCATTTACTACAAACTTCGGAATACAGCGAACCGATGACGCGTCAGGCTCAGGTTCGTTATAAGCGGGCTCGACTGTACTGGGTGTTCCACCTAAATAAGATAATAAGCTTTAGAAAAACCATGTGCTCTAGCAGGTTCTAAATCCTGTATATTAGTAGTAGTCACGTGTTCACTAATCATCAACAAGACGCACTTTATTCAGGTAACTTTTTCATTGTAATTGGAGAGGGTGATATTTAAGAAATAACCCCAGAATCCTAAGGTTATCTTGTGCTGAAATCTGCTGGGCTATTTTTGTAGCGCAAGCTACATTGGCCGAGGTTGACCAGTTTAGTATGGCTTACGGTGAGCAGTTCTGTGCAAGCCCGAGGAGCAGTGATGTCACACGGCGCACAGCTGGCGCGCCGAAGGCCTGGAAGTTCCTGGAGTGTAGTGTCACTAGGGGCTTGCACTTGACATGCATTAAATCGCTCGCTCGCTAGCTCGTTCATCCATCCATAGTTGACGCTACGTATATTCTGGCATAGCCAAACTGAGCCACTGTAATTATTTTCCCGAGACGCGAAACATGGCAAGAAAAAAGAAAAAACACTCGCATGACACTACATCAAGCCAGTGCCACGGACTTTACATGAAAAGAACTTTAGCGGCCATGCCAATGCACTCAAACGCTTCAAATCATTTGACTGATGTTATGTTCAATCGTTATTTCATGGATGTGAATGAGTGGGTAAGAGAAAGTGTGCGCACGCGTGTTTGCGCTTGAGGGAAACGTCGGCGATTTCAGTCGGCCAGTTGTCACTGGGTCGTCTTTTGTAGCTTTTTCATCCGGTGATTTCTGTCGCCTTGTGCAACGTGCAAAAGACACCTGAGGGGATGCTAACCGTGGTGGTGTACACTATTTTCTCCCTTTTTGCAAACATGGATGAGTGGCGTCGTCTGGTGTATTCTTTCCAACTATTGGCAAGATGGCAGTAGTGAAAAAGCCACCTAAAGTGTTTATTGTATACTGGCTGACTAACGTTGCAAGCCTAGACTTGCATAGTGTATGACAGCCTCTGTGGTGTTGCTCCATTCAACAGTAAAATATTTCTGAATCACTTCTAGTATACTTATTTTAGCATTATTTTGAGTTTATGCATAACTACACAATGTAAGCACTTTGTTCGCAAATATATGACCACGAACACTGAAGCTGACTTCAGCCAACAGGTCTGATTAGTGCTATGCCGCTCATGAATTACATCCCTAGCGGCGGAAGGTACGAACTAGACATGGGCACTGGAGGGGGGCATCTGAGCAGGTCAGGAGTACAGTAGGTCGTGGTGTAACACTTTCCCTGCATCGTTCTCAAACATCTGAACAATTCATCTGCAGGGTTGAACTTGTCAAGTTTGTTCAAGTGCTCTGTTTCTGTACATTTTGCCACCTTTTTTTAACACTGGAAATGTGCTACCGGCTCGGTGCACTGACTTGTTCAAGAGCACAACGGTGTCACAACTGCCTGCTTTTTCATGTAATCGCAGAGGTGGAGATGTGGCACACTGAGAATAGCTCCCGAGGACTATGTCACTTCCATCGTATGTTGGCGATGACACTGTATCTGACCTCTCTGACAGGAGGCTGCTGCCAGTGTGGTTTCATTTTTTTACTAGATTCTGAAGTGCAGTCCATTTTCAGACTCGTTTGAGCATCAAAATGTGCAATGGATTAGATTTTTGAAGAACAAAATGAACATTAACTCACACTTCTACTAATAATTAAATGCCTAACTGTCTTATTTTAAAATTTGTAACAACTTCTTTGGGGTAGAGTAGTCTCGTGCTGCAGGCTTAATAAAGCTGACCTGTGCCTGTTCCTTTCTTGTTTTTCCTTTAAATAATGGCTGAAAGCATGCTGTAGAAGAATTGCGGCACCTTCTCTTGACCATGACGAAATTGCATAAGGTGCAACAGAGACAGACAGTGAGGTAAAGAAACGAGCCTTGATGTGCCGCGTTCTTGAACAACATAACTTCACGATGATCAGCAACCACCTTGCCAAACTTTCAGTTCTACTACAATAATCCTCTTGATTCTTGGGCAGCATTTACATCCCATATTTTTTTTATTTTACACTGTACCCTAAAATAAATCACTAACTCAACCAAGAATACACCTATGTAATCTTATCTTAACATCTACACATGTGAGCGAAGAGACAGACAGTGGCTGTCAAAATTAAACTGAGACTAACACACACCTTGCAGGTACATTTCCTCGCCATCCCCAAAGGGGTCTCCACATTTAGAACACCGAGCACATGTGGGATGAAAGTGGTGGTTTTCTCCAGCCTGGAATAACAACAAAACACAATTAATACCAGCCAAAAGTGCTAATACACAGAGAAGCAATGCAAAAAATATTGAGATGAATATCCTTTAAATGTGTTGTTCCCAATAATTTTTTTATTGTGAAGAAATGGTGTTGATAATAGCTGGAACATTTTGTTATTTATTGTAGAAAATGATAACAGAAGTGCTACCTAAAATCTACTTTTGTTACATTACAGGACACCTTAGTGACAAAAAAAAACAGTATTTGCCCACATTGTGGATGCCCACTCAAGCGACTATATGTTTTGTTGTTCATTGCGCGTTAAAAAACCCCTGGTGGTCAAAATGTCCGGAGCCCTCCACTACGGCATCTCTCATAATCATATGGTGGTTTTGGGACATTATACCCCACATATCAATCATCAATCGTTTTGTTGTTCCTTGCCTCTAGCTTACCGACTTTTTATCAGGACATTTTGATATGAATCCAGCGATGCTACCAAGGTCTTCTAATTTGGAGCAATTTTTGGAGCAGTAACATTTTCTATTTTGGTGCACTTTGGAGCAGCAAAATTTTCCATTTTGGAGCAAACTGGAGCAGTTAACTGCACATCCTGGAGGAGATGCAAGTTGGATTTAAATTCAAGGGCATTAACTATTTTGGGGCTCTTGTGAAGAACTAGAAACATTTTGATTTATTGCAAATCTCATCGAGCCAATCACCTTTTGAGCACTCCCTATTTCAGTTCATAATGCAAAAATAATGGTGTCATGGTGTTGAGCATTTTGGAAAAACTTGTTCAGATATTATTTACCTAGGAAAGGAACAAAATACTGGTTGAATAAAGTTGTACTTCATGAAATGACATTCTAAATACACCGATGTGGCTATCAGCAAATATGGTAGACAAACGCTGTAACGTACAACGCTAGAGACTCACACAGTCCCCACTGCATTTTATTAAGATGACCTCAATGATAAAGAAAGGTTCTTTTTCTTCATAATTATACTGCTGGATGTAACATGACATCATTCAGCTAGTCTCATAAATTCAACTTCCTCCAGCACTCATTTCTTTGTGCTGAAACTACACGATCCAACTTAGTTTTTCTTTTGCAGCGATGTGATGTTTTATGTGGCTACGGCGTGCTGTCTATACTTCTAAAACCCCCTAGAGTATCCTCTAGAAAGCAGTGCATAAAGAAAAAAACTTTACAGGGTACCTCATGCATACACCTAAGATGACCCAGGAGAGAGCCATTTTGTTTCTAATGCGATAGCAATTATATCGACATTCTCGATTGGTTTTTGTCCTCGCCAGCTGCGTAAGCAGAAATACTATTTTTTTTAGGGGGGGGGGAGGGGTCCACCTTGATTTTAAGGGGGGCGAAGGCAGGCAAATGATCATTTTGCGCTATATATGCCATTACAAAAAAATTCGGTGGGGGGATGTGCACGTTCCTGATGTCCCTTCCCCTCCCCCTTGGGCTACGCCACTGGCCGTCGCTGTCATGTTTTGTGTAATGTCCCAATCGATAACATCCACCCGGCATCGTTCTTTTTACATGCGAGTAAAAGTGCACAAGGCTAAAGCAGAGATAAAAAGAGTCAACCTATATCCTTTGCACAGAGGGTAGATGCGCTAACATCACCCCGCGTGCCAAGCCTGCCACCGACTGCGACTCAAGTAGAGAGTAACTCGCCACCTGTCTTCAAGAGGAAGGAGCAGGACGGAACAAGGAATGCAAAGAGGGGAGGGGCATTATGAACTTTGACTTCAAGGGTGCGATCGCTGGCATGCGGGCTATTTCGGCAGGCATTAAATACAGCTGGTGTACCCTTCTGCCTAGTACTCTCAATGCGAACAAACTGTGCAAAAAGTGCTTCGCTTTCTAGAGTGCCATCAACACTGAGCCGTAATAGCAAGGTGGCCCATCATTGTCACACCATTTTGGAGGTCCATTTGTATGTGCTGTTTGTGCATGTGTAGGTGCATCAGCGTGCAAAAGGTGCTCCGGGGGTCTCTAGTCATCCAGGTAGCTGTACGAATATCGAACGCGCGTGCAGCAAGTTTTCTGTGCGTGAGGTGATTGCGCGGACCTCCGAAATGGCAACCTTGTCACTAGTGCTCCTCGAAGATGACGTCAAGCCTTATTATTTGGTATAACAATACAATTTGTTGGTATCGCACTCATTGCTGAGAGATTAAGTGAAACTAACAAATTGTATCTTTTGGACCCGATATCGCGTAACTAAAAAGAACGCTGGTTAAAGGGACAGTGATCTCTCCAGTTGCCGAAGTGGTTTTTGTGCTGTAAGTTATCTAAACGTAAAGCAGAGGGTAGTAGCACTTAAAGTTTACGAGCAGTCTCATTATGCCTCAAGTAGCGTGCACCAGTGACTGCGCCCTTCAAACAATGTAGCCCCCCCCCCTCCCCCCCAAAAAATGAAGCAAAAACTGTAATGCCATGATGTTCAATTTTTAACCATCAGCTATTGATACTGGGAAGCAAGAGGCAGACATGTAACAAGGCGTAGCTGCTCCACAGTGAAGCTGCCGCCACTAGAGCCGCCAGCGATGGCAGCTCAAACGTCTGCTCCGACCAGGTGGCATGCTTTTATTATTGAGATGACTTTTTAAAAAATGCAGGCAAAAATCTTAAAATCAAACCTTAGCAATTTCGAGTACGAAAGGGCAGGGTCTTCTAGGTGTTTTCACTGCAACACCGATTATAAACGCGGATGTGCTAGTGGCAGGAATGACGAAAACGCGCTTCTGAATGTGTCAAAGCATTGTCACCGTTCGCGTGTTCTTCTATTGATGCGAAGCACGGAAAATTATATCGCAATGCCCAAAAGTATATGCAAGAGACATTCTGGCAGCATGCATGCAGTTATTAGTGAAAATTGCTTTATTACATGCCCCGCAACTCTTCAAACGAGCTATCAGCAGCGTTCCTGGAATGAACGACGTCAGCCGATAAATCACCGCCACAGTTTCACGCTGAATGGACTAGACACCATGAGCCTCTGTGGATAGTGCATTTCACCGTTAAGCTGACTTGCACAACAGAAGTTGCGTCGGCACCAAACATAGCATCGTGGATTACTTAGGACGCACACGCGACCGCCGTTTATTCAGTGGAATAATTCTAGGTATCTGCTTGCGACTTTGGTGACCACTAGATCAAGGTGCACATGTTTTGACGTGCCGGCGTGGCTATTGCCAGAGACGCTCCCAAATCTGACTTTGGAACAGTTTAGCGCACTTTGGCGCAGAAGCGGAATCACCGTACGAAGCTGTCTGAAAGATTAACTAAGCAAGCAAAGCCAGTGATGCTACAGAAGGCCTTAGATTTGGAGGAATGTTTAGAGCCCTTTGAAACTGCCATGTCTTTGCTGGAAGGGGTGGAAAGCCTTCAAACAAGCACAAGTCAACCGCCAAAGAGAACAACTAAAAACAAGACACTTCAAGGACAAAGGTCTTAGCTTGATGACGGCTGACAAAGAAGGTGGCTTCATGGTTATGCCGTCAGCTATCTACCTGAAGAAAGCTCACCAGGCCATTGAAAAGAACTTTGTAAATGTAAAACATTGTGAAGCATGTGTTAACACTAAAGCAGTGGCATTGTGTTAGGACATCAAGCTAACAAAAGTTGTCAATGCAATTCAAGGAAGTAATTACAGCACCTTGCAAGTATCTTTTTAGTGCTAAAACACATAAAGTAGAAATTACTTTTTGCACTGTTGTGAGTAAAGAAGGTTGACATGTTTTTACGAAAATGCTTGAGTCGTGTCAATGCCAATGATTTGGTCAAGATAAAAAAAAAGTCGTTTTTTTTTTTAGGCATTGTTTTACTTGGATTGAAATTTTCATTGGATGAACAAGATCCATTTTATTCTGTTTCTCATGTTAACTTTTAAAGTGTGTTATGAACTGCATTCTACAGAATTTAGCTATTGATTTTCCAAATTCAACGGGTCTGAGTGTGGATAATTTTATGTCACTTTTTTTTTAGAGTTTTATCTGAAACACACTTCATAGGTCAAGTACGAGATTTCAAAATGCGGCTGGCAACATTCCAATATTCGGCCCATGCACATTGGTTCTTCAAGGTGGTGTGTGCCCCGCATCATCTGCTACTTTTCCACCAATGCACTCGGCGTGCGCTAGCGAACCCTGACCCTTTGCTCTTCTAGTTAGTTTTCGCACTGTAAATCAACTGATCCCAATGCGGCCTTCCGCTTCTTTGATAAGCCGGTACTTCATGGTTGCAAAGGCGAGCATAGAATGTTCATTGCATCAGAATTCAATAGCCCCATCTGTTATCAAACGTTGCCAGTTGCAGCAATCAGTATGTGAAAAATATGATGGGCTTAATATGACAAGCTTGCGAAAAACAGCTGCAATGTATAAAACCATCCATTTTTTTGTGCTAGCTGGGAATTCGATGAGCCACAGGTGGATAGACGGCTATATACAGAGCGCTTTCAAACGATTTAATGCACACCGGCAGAGAAGTAGCAAACGAAACTGGGAGCGCACCACCATTACCATTCATTGCGCATGCACCGCATTTACAAATCTTGCCACCAGTTAGCGCCAAACGACCCGTCGGCCTGCACAGCGGCGCAAAGGTCCACCATTACGTACAATGGCTATACAGTGAAGCCAGCCATCGCGCGTGCAGGAGACAAACACAGCGTGATGTTTGGGCGCGAGCGACAATGCTGTAGAATTATTCGCATGCGCTGAGCAAGATTGCACTTTTGCAGTGAAGCTGTATGTGTTATTGAATGGTGTCTACGAACAAAGCAACGCGATGAACAACAGTTTTGTAGTGGTGGACCGATTCCACCAACAGAGCGAGATGCACGCTACGATTGAACAGCTCAAAAGTTTGCCTTTCTGCGCTGTAATTTGTGCAAAAAAAGCGGTGCAATTACTTTCAGCACGCACACGACCTCTGTCTCCCTGGCCTGGAGGCAAGAAATAATAGTTTTGAAGGGGGTTAAA